ATTTAAGATATGAAACAATAAAATTCTAGAACAGACTGTGGGGAAAAAGCTTAAAGATATTGGCCTGGGAAAAGACTTTATGAGGAAGAACCCCCTGGCAACAGCAGCAACACAAAAATAAATAAGTGGGATTTCATCAAGCTAAAAAGCTTTTGCACAGCTAAGAGTATCACAACTAACGCAAACAGCCAGTCTTTGGAATGGGAGAAGAGTTTTGCATGTTATGGATCATGCACAAAGAAGTTCAGACAAAGGTCTGATAGCTAGAATCTATACAGAACTCAAATTAATCAACAAGAAAAGAGCAAACAATCCCATTTATAAGTGGGCAAGAGACTTGAACAGAAACTTCTCTGAAGCTGACAGATGAATGGCCAACAAATGCATGAAAAGATGCTCATCACCTCTAACCATGAGTTATCATCTAACTCCAGTAAGATTAGCTCACATCACAAAGTACCCCTGCAGATGCTGGCATGGATGTGGAGAGACGGGAACACTTTTGCACTGCAGGTGGGTTTGGAAATTAATGCAACCTTTTTGGAAAGAAATATGGAAAAATTCTTAAATAACTAAAAAATCAACCTTCCATTTGATCCTGCAATCCCATTACTAAGTATCTCCTGAGAAGAATAAAAATAATTTTCCCACAAAGACCTTTGTACCAGAATGTTTATTGCAGCTCAATGCATAATTGTCAAGTCATGGAAGCAACCTCAATGCCCATCATCCCTTGAATGGATCAACAAACTGTGGCATATGTATACCATGGAGTACTTTTCTTCAACATAAGAAAAGTTGAAGACCTTACATCTTTTATGTTATCCGGATGGAGTTGAAACACACTCTTCTTAGTAAAGTATCTCAAGAATGGAAAAAAAAAAAAACTCCAATGTATTCAATACTAATATGAAACAAATATATGAATAATTACATGTCCACATGAACGCTAAAACACAAATATAGTCTAGCAAGGGGCAAGGAAGGGGAAGATGAGGGTGACTGGAGAGAGAAGGGAGGGTAATTGGTGGGATCTCACCTAATGTGCACAATTTGAGGGTGTTCAGCAAACCCCGGTGGTGACGGGCTCAACCATTTGAACTTTACCTTGGAAGTGAGAGTAATGTAACCTAAAAATTTGTACCCTCATATTAATTAAAGATAAAAAAAGAAGGAATGTGAATTCTCAAAAAAATGTATACCAAAGATTAAATGAGATGAGATCTATAGACTCTTAGTAGATTGCCATGGAAAGGCATAGTAAATTGAGTATTATAGCTAGTGAACGGTAGAGCCAGGATTCGGGGGGCTCATTTATCTTAGTGTCTTCAGGGCTCAGAGAAGTATATAGGCTTGAGAAGACAGAGTACCCAGAGGGCAAAGAAAAAGTGAATTAACAGAGAATAATTAAGAACATTTAAGCAAGTAAGGGTTTTCTTAGGGGCAGAGAATGACAGTATAGACAACATCTATGTTTAATAGCATAAAAAGGAAAGAAATATCAGAGTTTGTATTTTTTGGTGGTTTGCTTCAAAAATATCACTAAATAAACAGTAGCACAGTGAGAGATTATTTTTTAAATGTGGCAACAGTACATAATTTTAGCTGGGTCAGAGAAAACCAGATTCTCAGGTTGAAGGCTGAGCCTTGGTTGAGATGGAATGAGGTCCTGCTCCAGGGTGGGAAAGGGAACACATGAAAGGCATAGGTTTTAAATACATAAAGAAGTGCCGACTCGGCAGAGTATACTGAACTTCTACCGTGGGCCAGGTACTCTGTTACGGAGCCTATATAGTGTTCTTGCTGCTTTAAAGGTGAGGAACTGAGGCACTTGAGGAATAGTGGTTTACTTAGTTCACACTAGTAACAGATTGAACCTGGGGTTCTAATTCCAAGGCCAGCTTTTTGACTGCCACCCTTAGAATCAATAACTAATTGGACATGGAAGAAAGATGAGGGGGGAATCAAGATGATGGTGGGCTTTCCAGTGGGATAATTCAGAGCATGATGATACCGTGAGAAATCAAGATGTGAGCATGCACACACACACTGTCCCACTCCCTGCTATGCTCTAAATATTGATGTCCCCCCACATTCATGTGTTAGGACCTAAGATCCAAGGTATTAGGAAGTGGGTTTTTTGAAATTGATGAAGTCATGAGCCTTTGTGAATGGGATTAGTGCTCTTATAAAAGAGCTGCCTTCCAACTCCTGCCTACAAGGACACAAGAAGTTCATGTGCCATTTACGAAGCAGAGATTCCTCACCAGACATTGAATCTTCTGGTGCCTTGATCTTGGACTTTACAGTTTCTAAAACTGTGAAAACTAACATTTCTATTGTTTATAAATAACCCATCTAACATATTTGGTTATAGCAGCTTCAGCAGACTAAGAGACACTCCCAAATACATACCAACACACACGTTACCTAATTAATATATCCATAATCACACAGTATCCACATATCTCATATCTGTCCTTTGTATTATGAAATAAACTCATACATCTTCCTACTACTTCTCTACTCAAGCTTAGTAAGCTTATTAATGAGAACCAAATGTAAAGAGATATATTAATGTAGCTAGTATTTATGGAGCACTTACCAAATCAAAGAACTGTGGTTATATGTTTAACATAAATCGTCATTTAATCACAATAACTCTGTGAGATTCTTATGAGGTGAGTATGCTTATTGTATCCATTTTACAAATAGAACTGAAGGCACAGAAAGACTGCCCAAGGTCAGCTATGGTGTGAGAGCTGGCATTGTCTTTCAGCTGGAAATTGGAAGCATAAGTACACTCTATTTTCTGCTTTGCTCAGTTCCTATCTTTGGAACTTTTTAGGTGCGACATTGTGGAGTTCATAGGCTGTGAAGATAGGCAATCCTCATCTTTATCTTTCTTCATTGAGCCAGTGACAAAATGACAATATATTAGGACATTTATGTATGTAACAACAGCCTAATTTAGAGCTTTACCCATAGCAAACACAGTATAATAAATGCATCAATATCTCTGTGGTAATGGGGTTGTCCCTATCTAATATTTCCTATTCCTGCCTCTTAGACACAGTATACATGTTCTAGTTGTTCATCTCTTCTTTGTTATTTATTTTATCTTTGTTCCTGTGGGCTGTTCCTTTTGGAATGTGTCCACCAGTTTTTATTACCACTTTCAACATAAACCTTCTCTTTTTAGCTCCACTGGGGTCCTGACCACTCCACTTTGGAAGCCAAAAGCCTCACATGACATGCTTTTATGGGTGCCTGGACCCTTTTTATTGGGTGGGCAATAAAGCTCTTTACATAGAGGATGGAATTATGGCCCAGTATGTATTTGGACTTGCTGGTCTTAGAACCAGAGGTAATTTATTTGTGACCAATAGAAAACTTATTCGTCTGTTTTTTTTTCAGTGATAAGTGAAAGAATCCAGTTCAAACTTAAGCAAAGGAAGGAGCGTTTTTGTTCTCGAGAACTTGGAAGAATCTGGGGGGAACTTACAGGAGACATACTTCAAATCTTTTTCTTTCTCCTTCCATCTCTCCCTCTTGTTCAGAAGATTGTAAACAATAAGGAACATAAAACAAAACAAAACAAACAAACAAAAACACCATCCACTGGCTTAAAGGATAAGTCTTTGGTGTCCTTCATATGTTAGTTCAAATCTCACTTCCTTGATGAGGCCAAGCGACCCTCCTTTATTCAACACCAAAACCCTTCCCCTGGATCCCAGAACTCTGGTTCCTTTTTGCTATGCTCCACTCAATATTTTTTTCTCTTTACTACTTCCTAACATACCAAGGAATTTTCTTACTTGTGTTTTTGGTTTGTTGTAACTCTTGGCTAGAATGTGAGCACCACAGGGCAGGGATCTTGTGATTTATTTACTAAGCTATCTCCAGCACCTACAACAGGGTCTGGGATGTGATTAATACTCAACAAATAATGATTGAATAAATGAGAGGGAATCTTATCTCACATAAGAAAAAATCCCAAGTTGAGTGGACCCAGGATTGTTGGTTCTATGGCTCAACGACGTAATCAGAAACCACACTTCTTTCCCCATCCCTGTCTGCCATATTCAAGCACTCTCGAGCTCTCAGTTGTCATTTGCATCATAGCACCTGAGATTATATTAATTTCTAAGCTAACCCTTAGGAACAAGAATATGTATTTTCAATATAGGTTATTCAAGCGTAACAACATGTTCGTTTTGGAAGAAATATATTAATGTAAATTTATGAAATGTTAAGAAGGCACTACTGGGTATAGTAAGTATTATAATCTAACATTGTTCTTGAAAAGTATAGTTAATGGAAAAATTATTTTTAACAATCTGCATTAGTTTCTAATTTTGATAAAATTCTTAGAAAAAAGATCAGGAGATCTGCCATGAAATTGACTAAAGAAAAAGTGTGCTTGAATATATTAAAGACCACGTATCTTCACTTTTCCGTACAGCATGATAGCGCCAAAACGTGTAAGAGAGAATGTATACATTTTTTTGCCTAATTGGAAGAATGCGTATTTTACTTAATTTAGTGTATAGGTCAAATGGATTGAGAAAATTCACTTTCACCAAGAATGTGACACAGTGGAAAAGGGTTGAATTTGTTTACTATCGTTGTTTTTGAAAAAAGAAAAATAGAATATATGATGTGAAAATATTAATTAAGAAGTGGACTATATTCGTTGTAAACTTAATATATGTGTAAGACCACGATCATAAAATCTGAAGCAAAATTTACTATAAATCACCCTGTTAATCCCTTGGGCCTTCTTAGTTGAATTAAGTTTGTCCTTGTTAGAGAAATTATCTTCGTTTTTTTTTCCCCCTCAGGCATGCATGTAAAACAGTTCCTGTCTCAATGTCTGCCTTAGGCAAAAAGTTCAGTGCTCAATTACCTGCTGTCTGCAGTCTCCTATTTGGTAGTAAGCAAGTGAACTAGCATTTTAATCAGAAGTCCTGACCCCTGCTCTTCCTTTCCCTTCACAGCCCTGCAAGCTATTTGGCATATGAAGGTCTTGACCTGAGAAAACTATCTTGGATAACCACAGCAAGGAAAAGGGAAAATGCAACACCTAGGAGATTTCAGTAAACAGTAGAATCATGCCAACCTAATCTGTGTTAAAATGCTTGGAATGTGGGAGCCGCTGATGATGCCTGTTGTCTGTGTGTCTGACTGAATCCTTTCTTTTCTCAGAGCAGCAAAGCAAAGCCTGGGAACCAGGCCAAATGTCTGCCACTTACCTTAAATTGATCAGCCACTTTGAGATTAAAACCCCTGAAAGCTGCCACACCGTGAAAACAAGGCCTCCTTCACATTAAAGGCAAATTGCGACTTTGGATTTGCTGTGATCTTTTTTCCATTTTATCCAGTTTTTCACAGTGCACACTTTTTTTTTCCTTTCCATTTATGCTCCAATGTAGAAGCCAATAGTTACAGCATCTTGGCCAAGCATTCATTAAGGTTTATAAGAACAAAATTTATGGTTATTTAGGAGCTGGCACAAAGGCAGACTGTTGCTGGAAAAAGAAAAAGAAATACAGGTGGGAAATAGAAGCCTCCACAAAGGCCCGTATAGACGGTGGTGTGCTGGGCAATCGGCAGGGGCTGGGAGGAAAAGGAAATAGGGTTTGAAACCAGCTACTCTTCTGTGTTGAATCTTTCCCATTTTATGGCTTTGCAGATTATTGAACCAAGTATATTGATCACTCTAAGAGATTTTTTTCTGTCTTGTGTAAATGCTACCATTTTGAGGAGCTGGCAGTTGTTGAGACACAAAGAGTGTTTGTATAATTTGGGTAATAATCTGTCAGTTTGGGTATACTAGGTGCGTATAAAAATATATATGTTCTGTATCATAAAAAGGGCTCTCCCATAAAGAGAGCAGTCACATTCTCCTCCTCAGTAGGACTTACTTAATGTAAGGCTCGAGTTCCCAAAAATTTAGGGTGTGGACAAAACACACCCTTAATCTCTGAATTCGAATAGTACTGTGGAATTCTGGTGTAGGCTGGAAGTCTATATTTTCCCTCAGGAAATACTATTAATAATTCTTCTTTTAATTTTTAAAAAATAAATACTCTGATACTCTTCATTAGGGGAATAGGAAGGCTCATTGCCCCATCTTTTGTAATATTTGTGAAACAAATGCTTTAAGAACATATTTTAGTTTCTACTCACTATTGTCCAGGGAGTACCTTGCTTGCATTTATTGAAAAATACACAGCTTCAGTATTTCATGAGATAGACTGGTCCTAAAATGTCACTAAGGTAGCTGCATCAGTAACTCACTGTATAACTTGGGACGAGTTAATTTAAATGTCTAGCTATCTTCCATTTATCAACTGGGAGGACTAACAATGATCATAACAACACATGCTCTAGTAGGTGCACTGGGATAAGGTATCTGCTTCTGCTTCCATGACCTTGTGTCTGCTAGAATGTTTTCATCCTTCCACTAGATGAAATAAAGTTCATCTCTTTTACTGCCTTTGTTTTGAAAATCTTCTACTGAATTCTTTTTTTTGAAACAGAGTCTCACTCAGTTGCCCTGGGATTGAGTGCCATGGCATCATAGCACACAGCAACCTCAAACTCTTGGGCTCAAGTGATCCTCTTGCCTCAGTCTTCCGAGTAGCTGGGACTACATGCACCTGCCACAATGCCCAGCTACTTTTTAGAGATGGTCTCACCCTTGCTCAGGAGTTAGAGGCTGGTCTCAAACTCCTGAGCTCAAGCAATCTGCCCACCTTAGCTTCCCAGAGTCCTGAGATTATAGGCATGAGCCACTGTGTCCGGCCCCACTTAATTCTTTCTATTCTTTACATCAGTATCGCCTCAACATGGATACACATACAGTGTTATATTAACCTGCATTTTTTCACATCATGTTCCACAAAAGACCTATTTAATCGTGCCTGGGTGTAAATGCTTTCTCCTAACTACACATATTTAAAGCTCCCAAGGGCAGGGATCATAACCTTCTTCCAATTTCTCCACCATACTTATTATAGTTTTCTGTTCTGAAAAGATACTCACCAAACTTGGAAAGCTGAATATGAACAGAGTCTTTTGCATCATTTCATAAGATGCCCAATACAACTCTGGATGCGTGAGTACATATGTGATTATCATTTGCAGATACTATTATTTCTGAACATGGTAAGTAGTAGACATAAGAAGTCACTTCCCTTGTTTCGTAGAGTGCCAGAAAGTCAGAGGCATGATAGACTTGCTGATCTGTTTCCGCCTTTTTAACCAGTTTGCCTTACAATTTTGTCATTTAAATTTGCCATCATGCCTAATAGACTTCTATCTTAACTACTGTTTTATCTTCCAAGTATGGCTTTGTTTAGAAAATCTTCTAAGTCTTCATATTTTGTATTTCCTATTAATTCTAATTATTCTATGTTTTATTAGTTATTAAGTATTCATGGAACTTATATTCATATATATGTACATGTAATTTTTAGAGATAAGGTCTCACTCTATTGCCCAGACTAGAGTACCATGGTATGATCATAGCACACTGAGGCCTCCAACTCTTGGCCACAGGGCTCTTCCTCCTTTGGGCTCCCAGAAATGCTGGGATTACAGGTATGAGCCACTGCACCTGCTGTGATACATATTTAATGTTAGGCTAAGGGCAACTGGAAAATCCCTATATAACAAGAAGTAATTAATAAGGAAATATAAGGCAAGCAAATAACTGCCTGCAGTGATTTGCCTTGCATTTTGTTGCATAGGGTAACAATTTGAGGTCAATTCAAAAGAGTGAATAATGGAGTCATATTCCACAATGAAACAGTCAATGTGGCAGTTCAGAGTATGCTGAAGCAGTCACAGAATGTGTAAGACTTGAACAGGGCCCAGGGAGAAGACAGAGAAAGAAAGACTCTCTAAGAAAGGGGGATGGCGGCTCGGTGCCTGTGGCTCAAGTGGCTAAGGCGCCAGCCACATACACCTAAGGTGGTGGGTTCGAATCCAGCCCGGGCCGCCAAACAACAATGATGGCTACAACCAAAAAATAGCCAGGCGTTGTGGCGGGCGCCTGTGGTCCTAGCAACTTGGGAGGCGGAGGCAGGAGACTCCCTTGAGCCCAGGAGTTGGAGGTTGCTGTGAACTATGCCACGGCACTCTACCCAGGGGGATAGCTTGAGGCTCTATCTCAAAAAAAAAAAAAAAAAAAAAAAAAAAGAACGGGGGATGGCATAAAAAAAGGCACAGAAGTGGGAACAATGTTGGCAAACTCACAAATTAGCCAAGACATGCTTTACATAGAGAAGCTGGACTGGAGAATGGCTAAGAATGCTGTGTGTAATAGAGAGAAGAGCCAACAAATGAAAGACCTTGAAAGTCAGACAGGAATTGGGACTGTCTTGGTGGAAAAATGGGGCCCTCTTAATATTTTGAGTCTAAGAAGATTTTAAGATGATTATCAACTTTCCTTTGGTGCAATAGAGCCCAGGGCCTGGACTCAGAATACCTAGGCTTTGGGTTTGGTTTTACCATTTTCAAGATATGCAATCTTGAGCAAGCCAGTGATTCTTTCTTAGCCTTAGTTCTTGCATCCATCAAATAGAGATGAAAATACTGTTTTGGTGGTTGGGTTCAGCATACCATTATCTCACTGCAGCCACGCAGGTGGAGAAAATGAGGATTTTGAGGATAGCAATGGACACAGAAAAGAGGGAGAGAGAAACAAATCAGAGAGGTCCTGCAGAGGCTGACATTATATCACTTGGGTGACTTTAGTCTACTATTCTCCAAGAAAAAGTAACACTTCCAAATTGCCTTCTTTCCTTGAAACTTTATCTTCTCCCCTCAGCTCCTTTATAAAACCCTCCCATCCTGCTGTTCTCTCTCTTCCCTGCCCCTTTTTGGGAAAAAGTTTTTCTTCTTTCTACTTATATCAGCCAAGAAAGTTCAGACCCTCTCTGAGAAGTCACCAATAGATTTCCAAAGACATCTGCTGTTTACTGACCGTCTCCCTCATTCACCTTTTTTATTAATCTATTTCCTTAGTGATATTTCTCCTTATTTTCTGTAGGTCTCCAGGGTTTCTGTAGAGTTTGACTCTAAATGATTTTTATTTCCCATGTAAAAGAATTCCTAAAAGTGATATCACCGAGTTGGCAGAATAGGAGTTTTCAATCATCATTTGCCCAAAGAAACATCAATTTAAAAATTTTTTAAATAGGTTTGGGGGTACCAGTTGAATTCTGCTACACACATATATTGTATAAAAAAGGCACAGAAGTGGGAATGGTGTTGGTGAACTCACAAATGTGTCAAGACATGCTTTGCATGGAGAGGTTGGAGAATGGCTAAGAATGCTGTGTAATAGAGACTGGGCTTTAGGTGTGCCCATCACCCAAGTAGTATCCCTTATACCCCATAGATTATTCCTCACTGCTTCTCACCTTTTTTCTCCTCCTTGAATCTCCAGTGTCCATTATATCACTCTGTGGGCCCTTGTGTAGCCATAGTCTAGCTTCTACTTATAAATGAGAACATGTGGCATTTGTTTAACTGTTCCTGGGTTACTTCCCTTAGGGTAAGGGTCTCTAATTCCATCTAAGTTTCTGCAAAGGCTATTACTTTATTTTTCTTATCACTGAGTAGTACTCCATAAATACTGTGTTTTCTTAATTCATTCTTTAGTTGATTGACACTTAGGTTGATTGCATATCTTTGCTATTGTGAATTGTGCTGTGATAAACATAAAAGTACAGATATCTTTGATATAATGATTTCTTTTCCCATGGGAAAAATTCCACCCAGTAGTAAAGTTGCAAGATCAAATCATAAATCTGCTTTTAGGTCTTTGAGAAATCTCCACACTGAAGTCTATGGAGGTTATACTTGTTTACAGTCCCTCCAATAGTGTTTAAGTGTTCCCCTTTTACTGCATCCATGCAAACATTCGTCATTTTTTAACTTTTAATCATGGCCATTCTAATTGGAGTAAGATGGTATCTCATGGTGGTTTTAATTTGCATTTCCCTGATGATTAGTAATGTTGAACAATTTTTGTATGTTTGTTGGTCATTTATATATCTTTCAAAAGAAGTATATCTTTATATCTTTATATCTTTATATATCTTCTTTTGCAAAAAGATACATAAAGAAGATAGCTTCTTCTTGCAAAAGAAGATATATAAATGGCCAATAAACATATCAAAGTATTCATACTGTTTGCCTACATATATATATATATTTTTTTTTTTTTTTTTTTTTTTTTGAGACAGAGCCTCAAGCTTTCACTTTGGGTAGAGAGTGCTGTGGCATCACAGGTCACAGCAATCTCCACCTCCTAGGCTCAAGCAATTCTCCTGCT